CATTTGCTGTCCATAAAGTGACTCCCTACAATTAGGCATAATCAGAATATTGAATGTATTTTGTAGTATTACGGTTTTCATATCCCATTTCTTGCTTTCTGGTTTGCAATGTTCTTTTGTTTGGTGAGGTTTCTGGACTTGGCTTATAGAATTGTAATGAATGAGACTGGTTTCCATGAACTCTCCACCCACCAGTCTGATGATGGCTAATAACTGATACTTTTTTTTTACACTTTCAGGGTTATCATGATTTGTCATGATTTTAAAGTGAATTCAATGTGCATGTCAACTTTTAGGCTAAAATTGATGAATTAGAAATAATCACCCAATTCAGTTAAGCTTTCAGTTTAGCTATTTGGGCCTTAAATTTGAAATTCACATTGAATTCACTTTCAATTCTCAACAATTCTCACTTTAGTGAATAACTTTGCAAATCGTGGACTGTGATTTGAGACAGATTTGTCTTCTGCTTTTTTACCCTATCTCCACTCTTCCATTTTTGTTCTCCTGTCCTTTTCTCTTCTTCTCCACAAATTCAGGAAGAATACCCGGGGAAGTTGGTGTTACAGTTTCTAAATATTCTAAAATTCCCATCCCTTAATGTTAAGAGACTGACTCTCACTAGAAGATAAGTCTCATGCCAAAGAGCTTGAAACTTACTAGATCCACAAGTGTCCTCATCCAAGATACCCATTTTCTTTTCCAGCTAGTCCAAATGTATCTGACCATGTGTTTGAAAGGTGTTTATTTCATGTTTATTTGCCAAACAAAATGAGGTATCAGTACTTATATGTAAGAAATACCATTGTTTTAGACAACTGCTCCATCGATAATTAAATCTACTACATCCTACTTAGGAAGGTTAGACCCCAACATCCATAACATACCAAAATTACACAGTAGAGCAGGTACCCTTAGATCTCATCGATTTGGTGATCATGACAAGCTGTTCAGTAACTTCATATAACTTTTACAATTGCTTGACATGGGTAGATAGCAGCGGTCCTTCTCCCAAGATAATACTTCTTACTCGTTTTCACATGATGCTTTTTCAGAAGTAACCTTTTGTCTATGGTATAAATGATATTACCAGGTCAGACCATGCTATCATAGAGTTCTTTCTTTCCGTTCCAAAATATTTGGCTCCATGAAGTTGGAGGTATGAGTTCTTTATTGATTAATGCTCAATATTTTGTGAATATTCAGATTGAACAAAACAGCTTCCTTGTGGACATTCTGTCCCAGCAGAGGGGGAACAAAAAGAAGAGGTCTTTGCTGGAAATGTTTTTGTGCTGTCCATGGTTTCTTAGCAAATCATATTGTACTATGCAGCAATTCAACCTTGTAATTGTTACTGACTGACTATACAGTAAACGCTTTGTAAGTCATTTTACTGAGATCAGTACAGTTTTTTTTTTAATTCTTTATTTTTTGTGTGCATAGGGTAACATACGAGCTTGCAGAGTCAACAACAGATGCAAGACATTCAACAGTTTTCAGTGACATGGCAGGTACAATAGCACATTTTATTTTAGAGTGAATAACAGTCTAGGATTCTTTAGTAAGCTATAATGAAGATATCAGGCTATATATGCATGTTAGTATAATAATGTGTGCTTAGAGCTAAAGTTATGTTGCCTAACATTTGCATAGCGGATTATAATTATATGCGATTAAGCAAGCCAAAAAATAAGGTAGTGGAGTAATTTTGAAAGGTCAAATCATATCACTAGGTAATTAAGTTGATTGTACTCCTGAAACTTTTAATCTGTGCATATACTCTAACAAACGTGGTGAGTTAGAATACGTCGTAATATGCGGAGACACATGCCCTAATTACATTATGCCTGATTGCATATTGTGTCATTGTAAGAGGTAACAGAGTATACAAGCTTAAAGCAGGAATTTACATGACCTGAATTTACATGACCTGAGCATTGGTATAATTGGAGAGACATCTCTTTTAGGCGAAAGGTGAGCACCAGGTCTTATAATCCTTTCAGGCAGTTCAGCGTTGGTACCCCTGACTTAGTATTAGTAGTGATTTTGAATTCTAGAGGCCAAAGGGAAATGTGGGCTTAGCTCACAATTTGTCATTGCAATTACAGTTATGGTGGCGATAAGGGTCAGACTAGGGTGACACTGAGCACTCCTGGCTCATTACCTGTCTGCCCCTGCTGTGGGAGTCACATAGTAGGTTTGATTCAGGTTATTATTAGTAAACCTGCTAGCATAAGTAAAGTTAACAACAAAAAAATAACATAAAAAGTAAAACAAAAATGCAAAAAATATTCGCTTGTAGCCCAGAGGTATGAAGACAGGTGGGTAAGATCAGTACAGTTTTACCCTTAGTACAAACGAGTGCATCAGAAAAGTTCAAAATGAACAAAACAATTACAAAATATATAACAACCGATATCCAATGCATTTAGTGTGTTAGAGATTCAGGTATATTTTGTGATAAAGTACAGGACACTATATTTATGGGAGCTAAATTTTGGATGCCATCCCAACCAGCAGCCAATCCAATGCAATATTAGTAGAGTTATTACTAAATCTACTTTACTCTTGTAGGATGTTTTGTTTATATTTACATTGGCATTGTTAGGGTTAAGTGAGTTAGCACTCATACACACTTCTTCTTTGCCATCCTAATTGGCAGATGATAATGTGTGTATTATGGAAAAAACAAGCACTTTACATCAAGTTGGAGAATCAATCTTTAAATTCATTCTTTAACCCCTTAAGGACCACATGACTGTCTACTCTATGACATAATGCAGTGCAGGACTTCCATAACCAGTGATGGCATGCCATCATTCAGTATAGGTACTGGCAGGAGTTAAATCTCTGCTGGCATCAAGAACCCCCAGCTATCTTCCCATACCAGGGGGTCCCCTCTATCAGCTGGGGCCACAGTTAGTGATTGCAATCACACAGCAAAGATGGCTCACAGTGACCTTTGTACTGTTTGAGCTAAGAAATCCCTCTGCTGATGTCAGTATTAAAATCAGCAGAGGGAATCCATCAGAGGTGGGATAAAGGGGTTAAATTGGGAAATGTGATTGAAGGGTGGTATTCAGACTGATTATAGATTTGATTTGAGTTTGGAAATTTAGGTTGGTTTATTGATGTGATTGGATTATGGGTAGAAACAAAGGTTGGATTATTAGTTGGATTAAGGTTTGGAATAGGGACTGGATTAGTGGAAAAGGTATACATGTGGGGTATCAATGTACTGTTTGCAGCAGTGGGACATGCATATTCTGTAAATTTCACCAACAAAAAAATAAAAATACAACATAAAATAACTAATTTGGCCTAGGTTTGTGATAAAATGGTTAAGTGAAAATACTCTTAGTTACATAGCTTGGGGGCTGTACTTTCTACAAATATATACTTAGTGTAGCCATTATGAATTATGTGATTTCTTTGAGAGTTGCCCAACTTTGCAAAGTTTTAGATTTAAAACCATGATTCACTCCTTAATTTGCATCCTAGCTATATTGGGCATTTTAACAATCAGGACTAATTATTGAATCTGTTAGTTTTCTTTTGTTGTACTTTCATTGCACTTGATGTATAAAAATGATTAAATGTAAAACTGCAACAACAACAAAAAATTATATAATTTTAATTTTTTTTAAATTGTATTCTATTTTATATTGCATTTTGTCTACATGTAGGATATGAAAAGAGTCCTATTTCTCTTTTAAAAAAATATGATTTATAATATGTATTAGTGCACTTAAAGGGTAAATTGTGTTGGAATGAAAAAAGGGCCATAGTCACAAATGCGTCGCATCTCAAAAAAGCAGTGGTTCTATTGGGTATCGTTAATTTGAGCTAGAAATTAAGTTGCACCTAAAGCAGACCTTGCATGGTACAGGAGGATAAAATCAAAGTAATTTCTCATGAAGCAGAAAATGCAGGTTGGTGCAACAGTAATCATGGGAACTTTATCATGCTGAAAATTTAAAGGACCACTCTAGGCACCCAGAACACTTCAGCTTAATGAAGTGGTCTGGGTGCCAGGTCCTTCTAGGGTTAACCCATTTTTTTATAAACATAGCAGTTTCAGAGAAACTGCTATGTTTATTAATGGGTTAAGCCTTCCCCCAAAGCCTCTAGTGGCTGTCTCATTGACAGCCACTAGAGGCGCTTGCGTGCTTCTCACTGTGATTTTCACAGTGAGAGCACGCCAGCGTCCATAGGATAGCATTGTAAATGCTTTCCTATGCGACCGGCTGAATGCGCGCGCAGCTCTTGCTGCGCGTGCGCATTCAGCCGGCGGGGCGGATCGGAGGAGGAGAGAAGGAAGAGAGCTCCCCGCCCAGCACCGGAAAAAGGTAAGTTTTTACCCCTTTCCCCCTTCCAGAGCCGGGCGGGAGGGGGTCCCTGAGGGTGGGGGCACCCTCAGGGCACTATAGTGCCAGGAAAACGAGTATGTTTTCCTGGCACTATAGTGGTCCTTTAGAGCATTTTACGGTGTTTTTTATTTATAAATAAAAAATCATTCAGACTCCATCTCCACACATTTAATAAATGATGGCATACACAGAATGCATGTACAATAAATGTGAAGTTTAAAAAACAAAACAAAAAAAAAAACACTCACAAGTGGCTTTTTCTGACAGACCAGGATCATTCACTAAACTCATTACATCAAGAATGTGTGGGAATTAAACAAGTTGGCGGTGTGGCTTTCGAGGGAAACCAAGTAGAGCATCTATAGACAGCGGTCAACATAACATGTCCTTAATCAGGGGCTATGGTTTTTTTTTTTTAAACCTTTAATGGTTTTAATTGCATTGAGTAAAACCTAATTTGTGTTTTAAAGTGATGCATTTAGTTTACCGTGATACGCCCTATTGCACATGAAATGGACACACTTAAGATTAAAAAAAGTAAAAAAAAAAGGAGAAAACATTTTCTTTAAAATCATGGATAAAAATATTTATTTTATTATTATTATTATTTTTTTTTACAAAACAAAGTCCATTAAAATATGACAGGAAAATGAAAAAAAAAAACACAGAATTTGTTTTTCATCTCTAAATTATAAATGGCATTTCATTGCCAAAGGCATGAGCAATGTGCTGTAATGGTTAAATGGGTCATAATATGGCTGTACAATCATAAAACTTCAAAATGTGCCTCTGAACAGATGGCTTTTAGAAATGGTTCATGTGTTTGTGCATGTCTCATTAAGTTATGCAAAGCCTGGACTATATATAAAAAGCTATACTATCTTCATACATACCTTAAAATAATTGTGTACAGTAGGTATGTATTTCCATTTGTGTATGCAAATATTACCGATTACTAATTATTCTTCCTAATGAAAGATAAAGAATTTACCAAAACAAAAATAAAACTGTTAGAAAATTGCAAAATAGCACTTTCAGAAACAGTTATTTGAGTTAAGTGGTGCAATAAGAAGGATAAATGTAATGTTCCATGGATATTGCATCACTGTTAGAATGTTGCTCCAAGTGATGGTTTCTGGTTGTGTAATTATAACTCTGGTTTTATACAAAATACCCTTTATTGGTAATTGTCATTATAGTTACATTAAAATGCCTTTTTTTTAAACAGATGATTTCCATAGAAAAAAATAGATTTCTGAAACATAAAAAGTGTATGAATTTCATTCAAGCATATAAACAAAGCTTTTTTTTATATATATATAATTTTTCCACTCTTTACATAATAAAAACATTTTTGATAGGCTATTCATCTATGCACCTAACGTTTCTTCATAAACTTCTCTTTGATAATGACTATGGTAGGATTACAACTCTAGGCATTAAAAACCCACTCTCCTATCCCACTTCATCAATGGTACATACCCAATTTATAGATGCTCATTAGGAAGGTGGATCACACCCCTTATTTCCACCTAGACTACCCGTATTAAGTGGTAATGTGTTTGGGTTTCCGAAAGTTCCAGGTATTGTGTGCAAAATACCTGATAGAAGCACCAGACATTCAGGAGAATGATCGGCTGTAGTCCAGCGCAAAACACCTGGTAGAGCTCCTCAAATGTGCAGATGTTCCATTAGAACGTCCAGATTGTTGGCCAGATGTCTAATAACGCTGATCTGCAGAACTGTTAGGCAGTAGGTCATACCGGCCATTATAGATCACAGCCCCTGGTGGGTAACAAATCACATCTGGCTCAGCAGGATTCAAGGGCACCATGCCATGTGCCTGCTCGTCCTGCTCCGGCTTGGTGGTGGCTGTGAAAGGGCGCATGTTAGTAAGCGATGGAGATGTCATTCTCCAGAAGAGGTTCTTGAGAGCTTTACGAAATTCCCTCCTCATCAGGCAGTACAGGATGGGATTTAGACAGCTGTTGGAGTGAGCCAGACACACAGTGATGGGGAATATATAAGCCTGGGTGGTGAAATATTCATAACTAAATTGCACTACATTCATTTTGATCAAAATACCCCAGGTGGTTAAGGCTTGGTTAGGAAGCCAGCACAGGAAAAATGAAAGTACCACAATGGTTACAGATTTGGTAACTTTAGATCTTCTCTTGGTGCTGGAGCTGCTTACATTCCTGTCTGTGATAAATCTTACTAAGAGGAGGTAACATATAGTAATTATTACCAAAGGGATCAAGAACCCCAGTAGAACTTTCTGGGCATGGTACAGTCCCAGCCAGAACTGAGCATTACCATTATTAACTGGAAATTTAACCAGGCAAAGCACTTCACTGGACACAGTTGAAGTTGTGGAGAAAATAGCGTTTGGTAGGGACGCTAAAATAGCAGAAACCCAAATCAGAATACTGACCCACTTGGCAGAGCACCCAATGGGTCTTCTTTTCGATTTAAGAGCTGATGCCACAGAATAATATCTGGCTACACTCATGGCAGTGAGAAAAAACACGCTAGCATACATATTCATGGCTGTTACATAAGATACGATTTTGCACATAGCTTTGCCAAAAAGCCAGCTGAAGTCCAATGCGTTCTCCACTGCCCAGAAGGGCAAAGTCAATACAAACTGGAAGTCCGTCACAGCCAAACTGGTGACAAAGAGGTTGATGGAAGATTTCTTCCATCCTTGCTTAGTCTTCATGAGGTACAGCACCAGCACATTGCCCACCAGTCCTAGGGCACACACTACAGAGTAAACGATGGATATAATGATCCTCACTATGGCAGTGCTATCTCCAATGATATCGGATTTCTCAAAGTTAAAACCCCTGAATAAGTCCTGTAAGGACTCATTGGTCCTGTTGAGTTGTCTCTCCTCTAGGAAAAGTGGCAATATCCCCAGCAGATCGCTTTGCTCTGCTTCTTGCATTCTTGTTGCCATTAAGCAATAAGTAAGGTTGCAGCTGACATCCATCCCATGATACAAACACTTGATTCACTGGGCAAATGGCTGTGTGGCATGAATAATTGCTGAGAGAACCAAGTTCAGATCCAGCTCAGGGAGGAGTGGAACATAGAACCCGTGGAATCTACTCTGCATTCCTAAAGGTGGAACTGTATCCAGTTTGGTTGTTGTGCAATGTTTAATGGCGATTTGGTGTACCGTGTTTAATGGAGATCCTCTCCCGATTTTTAATGTTGAGGTGAGATCCTCTCCTGGAGTACAGTGTTTAGTAAAGGTCCTCTGCCGGTTTTTAATGTTGAGGTGAGATCCTCTCCTTGTGTACAATGAATATCATCTATCTGTAACAATGTTTAGTGGAGTTCCTCTTTCTGTAACAAGGTTTGGTGGAGATCCTCTTTCTGTAACAAGCTTTGGTGGAGATCCTCGTTCTATAACAAGGTTTAGTGGAGATATTCTTTCTGTAACAAGGTTTAGTGGAGATATTCTTTCTGTAACAAGGTTTGGTGGAGATCCTCTTTCTATAACAAGGTTTAGTGGAGATATTCTGTCTATTTAGTAGAGAGCCTCTTTCTGTAACAAGGTTTAGAGGAGATATTCTGTCTATTTAGTAGAGAGCCTCTTTCTGTAATGATGTTTAGGTTCAGCTCCAAGAAAGAGTGACTGAACTCATCTGAGCACACCACAGTGCATGCAATACAATCTATCCAGAGGTTTCCTTCAAACTCTGCGAATTCTCCGTGCTTCTTCTAACTTATATTTTGCTTGCTGTCTCCGTCATCCTGGTGAGCAGAGCTGGTGAAATCCGGGAGGTAAATCATGCGCAGTGCTGACACGATGTTCTGCCTGGTGCTCTCCAGGGTTCTGAAGGGATCTCCTGAAGGTGCTCAAAGTCATTAGCAAGCAGCCAAGCGTGAGAGCTCAAACAAGTCTGATTCCTAGCGAAGCACAGCACGGAAAACACAGTAAAACCTGACTGTGCCTTGTAAAATCACTGAATGTCTTTTACAGGTGAAATCTGCGGATTCAATGTACATTGTAGCAGTGTAGCAGTGCCAGCAAACAAGCAAGATCAGTGAGGACATTGCCAAAATAAAAGGGACATAGGTTACTATATGTATATATTAGCAGGATTTTCAGATTTGGAAAGGAAGAATGCATTTTATCTCTCCAGCTAAGTACAACGTTTCAATTTTTTATTTTGTTTTTATTTTATTATTTAACGCAAAAGTGGTACTTTATAAATACGTGATAATACTAATAAAAGATGCATTGCTTTGATAAAACAGCTGTGAGATTCAGATCATTTGATGACGATTGTCAGACAAATCTCAGCTGAGAAGATGCAAAGTCTAATTGATTTTCTTCTTTTTCTCCTAATGACAGTAATTCCAAGCATGTGCACTAGGGGGAGGTAATGTTTCAATGTATAAGGAAGATTTTCCAAAAAACAAAAAAATCTATAGAAATTGATAGCACATGAGTTGCACGTATTAGATATATTTATTCCATCATCACAGAGCTCTTTGCTTTCTCTGAGAGTTATATTTTCCAAAATAGGTAATTACTTATTTATGCAAATATGTAATTGAAAATAAAAGGCAGTAAAAAGTTGACTGCTTAATACATTGAGGATCACAATAAAACAAATATTACATACAGCTCATGAGTAAAAGGGTTGTGTAAATGTCTAATAACTCAGCATTACAGTATAGAGAGTGATAAAGTTGGAAATAAAATGATCTTTGAATGACAATAAGAGGTAACAGAGCTGCATGCAGATTCATGGCACCTCTGACTCCCACCTTTAGACTTCTCTAGGGCTACATCGTTCCTATGGAACTCCCTTTCCTGCTCCATTAGACTCTCGCCGGGTCTCAGTTATTTCAAAAGACCATTAAACTCAATTCCTTAAGAAAGTATATCAATAATACCTCTCTGCACCTTGATAACCCACCCTACTTCTTCTCCTGCAACCGTGTCATCAAATAAACTAACACTTCACTGTAATGTAAACTATTCTAGTAACCAACTTTTTCCTGTACACGAAAAACATCCTAGTCTTACCTATTGTGCCACTTTACCCCACTCTCATTAGAATGTAAGCTCGTTCCAGCAGGGCCCTCAACACCTTCTGTTACTGTGTGTCCGGCTACCTTGTTGCAAATAGTTTTCTGCTAGTCCACCTATTGTACAACACTGTGGAATTTATTGGTGCTTTATAAATAATAATAATAACTGAAAGTCAGCCATGCACAAAATGAGTTGAACTAAATGATCATTAAAATACAGTATTTTTTATTGGGAGCTACTCACAAATAAATTATTCCTATTAGGAGTATTTAATAATAGACTTGTGCACAGTGTAAAAAGTTGTTTTCATCTTAAAAATAAAAATATGTTGGGACACCTGAATTTTGTCCATATGGTGGTTTGGCTTGTCCACGTTTCAGTATTGAGAAAAGATTTGGGGAAACAAATCATACAAAACAGAAGGGTGCAAAAATGGGCCAGTCAGTGTACTACAAAATATATACATAATATAAGTATTATATTTATATTTTGCTGTTCACTGATAGGCAAAGTTTGCCACCATTTGGTTCACAGAACGAGTGAGAAAAAGTAACCGATAAAGAGAAGAAGAGGAAAAACAATAAAAAACAAACTATATATATATATCTATCTATTGGTCACTTCTCACTTGATCAGTGAATACAATTAACATTCAGTGGCTGTTCACTAGTCATTAATCATCTTTTATTTCCCATTAATCATCAATCATTGATCAAAATCAATATTTTGGCGGGATTTTAAATTATGAATCATATGAACATGCTCGGCCATTGCGCAACTCATTTGGTTTGTGATTCAGCCACACTTCGACTCAGAGTTCAGGAATTAGTACAATCAGCGAATCGGCACAAATTAGGAGGAATTGCAGTTTGTAATGAAACAAATCTCCAAGTATACTTAATAATAGAGCTTATCTTGCATAATGCACACATTGCTTGGAAGGTCCCAAACTCCATTCAAGTTCAAACTTGCTAATTAATGCCATAGAATTAACTTTAGTAAACACATAATTAACACATTTAACAGACAATCATATGGTTCATTTTAAACATCCTAACATGTAAACATATATAAAAAAAACAAAAACATGCATTAAGATATCCAATCTAGAATCTGTATAAAACATAAAATATATATTTTTTTTATCAAATAAACTATTTTATAATTGTTAAATAGATTTTTCTCATTTCCTTTTTACTCTCATAATTGTTTATGATTGTATACTATAATTATTGTCATTTTCTCAGTGGCTTCACTGTGCATTTATTGTTTTTGATGCCAAGGGCAAGATACTGTTACTAAAAATAAGTTTAGCTTTAGTAATTCAACACCACTTTTCCCATTGAACTTTAAGGGAAAATTCCTATTTTCTAGGGAGTCTGATCCTTACTCCCAACATCTTAAGGCACCACACTGGATCCCAGGAAGCCACCCTCCAGCACAAGGTGGGTGGGTTTCCAAATGTAAATTTTGTATGTCTGTCTGAGTGTCAGTGTGTGCATCAGTATGTCTGTTTGTCTGTCAGTATGTCTGTGTGTGTGTGCCAGTATGTCTGTCACTGTGTTTTTGAGTATCTCTGTCTGTGTGTGTGTGTGTCAGTATGTTTGTGTGTGTGTGTCAATATGTCTGTCAGCGTGTTTCTGTGTGTGTGTCAGATTGCCAGTGTGTGTCAATGTGCATGTCAGTATGTCTTCCAGTGTGCGTCAATGTGGGTGTCAGTATGTCTGTCCAAGTGTGTATCAGTATGTCTGTCAATGTGTGTCACTATGTCTGTCAGTCTGTGTATCACAATGTGTATCAGTATGTCTGTTATATAGGTTCAAGGTGATCAACGTTTCGACCCAGGAGGTCTTTGTCAAGATGTGAATACAAGTAAATAGATTGTATATATAGGGCATGGATTGTTATAAAATAATCACTTACCCAGTGCAGGTGTGAGCCCCAGATCCCTAAGTGAACGCTGTGCTGTGCTCTAGTGATTGCGCGTGTGTGACCGGCATGAGCGTGGTGACGTCATCATACCGCGACCGAGGGGTCGGAAAAGCATCCGGTTACCTGCCATTCTATTGTTTTGGGCTTGTTCATCATTCTTCATTGCACAATTTAGCAGCCTGGTTGTTCATATACCACCAGTATACCTCTCTGTTTATCCTCCTTGCTGATTTTATTTCATGTTTATTAAACGCACGATTCACAAGCATTCACTTTCTCTTAATACCGTGTTACTATGGTAACCGGATGCTTTTCCGACCTCTCGGTTGTGGTATGATGACGTCACCACGCTCATGCCGGTCATACATGCGCGATCACTAGAACACAGCACAGCGTTCACTTAGGGATCTGGGGCTCACACCTGCACTGGGTAAGTGATTATTTTATAACAATCCATGCCCTATATATACAATCTATTTACTTGTATTCACATCGTGACAAAGCCCTCCAGGGTCGAAACGTTGATCACCCTAAACCTATATAAAATTTATTGAACAAATCTTCTGGAGTGCTCTCTTCATCGTCTTGCATATCTATCCACACTGTGCAGCACCGGGGTCCATTTCATCAAATTCTTAAAGGTAGAGTGCCTGATTTCCTTATATTATATATATATATATATATATATATATATATATATACATATATATATATATATATATAAATATATATATACACCTCTGCATTCAAAACCCAACAATACACATAAATGCATGCTTGCATTCAAATGCCAACAACACATACAAAACACCCCTATATTCACACAAACATACTCCATACAAAAACATGCTTACATTCAAACACACAAACACTGCTCAGTGCTACACAGAACCCTGCAAGAGTGGAGAAATGGTAGAGCTCCAGCTGTCAATGCATTGTTGGAGTTTCACAACAGATAGGGTTCTATCTTTTGCCCACCCTTGCAATAGGGGGGCCTTAAACAATTATTGCACTAGGATCCTTTCTACTTTAGAAAAAATAGGGTGCAGGGGGCCCAAGCAAATGCTTGCCTATGATTCAATCAGCATTAAAGATGGCCCTGAGGGGACCATTAGTACAAGGATAATGATTGGCTGTGTGGTGGTGTGATTTCAGCAGCTCACTGTACACTGATCTTACATTGGCTGATCTGAGTATTCACAGAGTACATCTAATAGGGAAGTTGCTTTGATTAAAAAAAAAAAAAAGATGTAGCTAAGGGGGTGGAGTTATGCTGCAGAAACACTAATGAGATTTGAATGTGGAGAAAATTACAGCATGAATATGAGCCAAAAAATCTTTCAAATGCACTTAAATTGTGTTGGTACATGGTGTGTGTCTGGAGTGCACTTTTAATTCTATAGTCACATCTTTAACAATTTTTCTTCATTGTTTTATTTTGGGACTCTTTCTCTTTGGAGCCATTAGCAGGGTCTATAGGCTGCCAGAGGGGAGACAGAGCCAAAACACTTCCAAGGCATGAATAAACACTCACAAGGCAAATATTTAATATGATTTCACAATAAAGAAGATATTGTTTAAGTATTATTTGGTCCTACAACTTTGGTGTGCTGCTGACATTTGGTTCATTTGTTTGTCGTGGTACACATTGTCCTACATCATCTGATATTTCTATTATATTGGACTGACATGGAGCTACATGTAGAGCTCTTGTTTTTGTTTTGGAATACTAAATAAATTCCGTATCTGATGCACCAGAAAACTGTTTGGTTTCCATGTGGGT